GGGGGGGGAGGGTAGCAGCTTACAAGTACATTAAGGCAGGATTTAACTCTTGTACCCTAATGTAATTGTTTGTATTTGTGCAGAAGCTTCAATTGGTCTTTAAAGTTTATGTATAGCTAAAACAATTTTTTTAGGTTTTGGATAAGGTAGTAAAAAGTCAGAACCTCTGTCAGATTTTAATTGCAATCTGTCACTGTTGGAAGATCCATGCTTGCAATTTGTCCTGATGACTATTATCACTAAGACAGAAAGAGATGAAGAATCCAACATTTCAAAGTTGTTTCCAGAACACAAGGTGATGGGAAATCTTCCACTGAGGATCCCTGTTATTGTGACTATCTATGACGGGATTTTCTCATGCTTCTAGTGATTTCCGTTCACTTCCTGTTGCATCTCTGGGACAGGAAGTGAAGGAAACGCTCCCTAATGGGACATAAACAGCAAACGTCAAACTGAGAGAAGTTTTAAGCCTTTTCTACTCAATCAAAAAATGGTTATACATACACATGGTGGCTATTTACATATAATTTGCTCAGACATATGCTAGACAAATGCCATTTGCATGACATTCCCAGCACTAGATGGAGCCAAGCAGCATAGGAAATTCTCATGTTTCTTTACTCCATATAGTGGCGGAAACGAAGTGCAAATGGCATTTGCCCAGTGTATTGCTGGGGAGAAGATTTATGTATACATACAGAACAAAAACATACATTTTTACTAAAGCTAATACACAGCTTCTGTTCTGATTTATCCATAGCTGCGAGATCTAGCAAGCTTTCCAACTTGTTTACAATTGAGTTTGCAGGATTTTGTAAAACAATTCTGTGTTGAGCTATCACAATCTTTCATACCTCCAAACATTTTGAGATGAGAATGAGGGAGACCTTTTAGCACAAAGCATAGACAAAAACACATCCCTATCATCCCTTAGGCTTCATTTACACTATGTGATTTGGGATTCCTGCGTCAGGAATTCCAAATGTTCCATTTAGCTGCAACTACTGTACCCATTAAGTTAATTACCAGCCACATCTATCAGCGGCAGTCTACATGTAATCATATGTGATACAATTACATGTGGTTTGGAATAAATAACTGCTGGACGTAAGATAAATGCATCCAGGGCCAATGATCTATTCAAGAAGGGGGGGTGTCACTGTAAATACCCTGATTTTGTGGGTGTGGTTAAAAGAGGGCATGATCAGCAGGATGTCCAAGGATTTTATTTTGAAAATATGGTAACCTTACTGTATGGAGCCCCATCATTTCCAATAGGGGCTCTGCTTGTTATTACTGACTAGACCTGAGCACTAATACATCAGGTATATTATATGGACAGGACAGCTTTGTTACTTCATCTTGTAAGTAGTGTTTATCCAGCATTTCTTTATAGTGCAGAATGATTCTTTGTGTAGTTAAATTCTGCAGCCCTCCCTTAACCTTTGGGATCAGTGTTTACATGTATATTGTTATTATGAGTGTTTTCTTGTTGTTTTTCTTTAGCCCAATAACTACAGCTCTCTCATACATGTTTAATTAAAGAACGACTGTAAAGCTGCCCAATCACTCGTACACCCCCGCATGTGCACTTCCCACACCAGAAAGTGACATTGTCAGCAGAGCAAAATCTAAAATCTTCCAATGGTGACATTGCTAAATAAATGCATAAATAATTGTACCAAGGAACCTCCTTTGCTGTTTCTGTACTTATGATGATAAACCTTCCTGTATATACAGTGTTTTAAATTTAAATTCTCCACTAAGTTAATGATATGGCTCTTGTAAAACCATAAATAAATGCCCCGTCCCTAATTAAAATCCCCTATCCACAATGGTGTATTGGATGCACAGCAAAGAACAGTGTCCCTGAAATGTTTTTTAAATGTTAGCAACTAAGTATTATGCTTTCAGTATTATTAACAGCACTTAAATAAAAAGGCTTAAACAGATAACAAGTTCTCTTTAAAGCATATTCTGTGAGTAGAATGACTGTGGCGTATGTGTGCTGTGTATACAGTGAGTAGGGCGAGGTCCTATTTAACTATACCCCTTTAAAATCCTGACCATACTGAGTCCTGACCATTCACATTGGTGCGCTCTGACCATTGCATCATGATTCTATTTGTACTGCTCAGGGATGTCCCCAGTCTTTCACAATCCTAGTAACACCCCTGGAAATTAGAAACACTTTGCCACAGTGTATGCATGTAAAATATTTATTGAATAATAATAAAAATGCTAAAGCTTACTTAGCTGACCTACTCTATTTTGCATACAAATATTTTCATTTATAAAATCGTCCATGTAGAAATGGTACAGTATTGGAATATTTTTATTAAAGTTTTTGTCAAAGAGTAAACATTAGAGAATGTTTCTGACATCCCCAATAATGTAGCATTATGTAAAGGCATAAAAATCATACAGAAAATGGTAAATAGAAATGTCACATAGCTAGTACGAATGCTATGCATAGCCATAAACCAAGGAGCGTTGGTTCACTATACACCATAGATAAACTGGGTAGCACTATCCAGAGGTGAACCAGGAATAATGTAATATGGAGGAGCAGGAAAAGGGTAACTTTAGAGCAGTAAAGAAAAAGGAAGGAGTAGAAAGGAATAAGAATAAGATAATATTAACATCACCATTATTGATAGTATTAATAACAGGATCACCACTACACATAACCACCAACTGGCTCTTATATTGACAGGGTCAGCTCACCACCCTCCCATGATCTCTAGCCTCCCAATTCCACTCAGTTCACCTAGATTCCCCGGAAATTAGTTCGATCCATGTCAGGGTATTGATGTAGAATCTAGGGTTCCCAAATATTCAGAAATTTGTCTTGTTTTAAGATGCTAGACATCCGTTCATTTAACATGATATTGACCAGCCTACGGGCAAACTCCATGTACGAAATCTGCTGCTTTTTCCAGTTGCCTGCTAGTGTAAGTTTTGCTGCCAGAAAAATTAAGTGTGATAAAGCATGTTGTGAACTATTCAGTCCAGGTACAGACAAGTGTAAAAAAGCAGAGTTAAGGTTTTTAGAAATGTGTTTGAGAAACAAGGTATTATTCAACCTATTTATCCTGATCCAAAATCGAGTAGCAATTGGACATTGCCACCAGATATGTAACATATTGCCAGGTTCCCGGAATCCCCAAAAACAATCGCCTGAGGATGTAGGATATAGGCGGGCAATCCAAGCCGGGACCAGATACCATTTTATAATCACTTTATATGCTTTTAATGTTTTCATTTATCTAGGTCCTGGCAAGGCTTTCATGAGTCAGCCACATTCCACTCAACTTGCTTAGTAATGTTTCAACACTGCTTAACAAGTCCAGCTGAATGTAACTAACTATTAGAACTTATTCAGAAAACTCACAACACAATTTTATCTTCAAATGTTTCATTTATATGTGAGACCAATCACCTCTATTTTATTTAGGTAGTGACCCATTTGCTTCTTTACAAGGATGGACCTCACAAAGATATCCGAGTTTGACTCAACTTTTAATACTGCCATATTACCAGACTTTATGCACATTGATTTAAATGCACTTGTCCGTGAACTGGAAGAAACTCACATCAAAATAAGAGAGCAACTACCTAAAGGACCCATCTATTCGATGAGAAGTGAACTTAAGAGGTTGCGGAGTCTCCTCAGTGTATCACCTTCCTCAACCTGGTGTCCAAAAGAGTTGGCTTCTGCCGGATTCTTCTATACAGGTTTGGAGAACAGTGTCCAGTGCTTTTGCTGTGGCTTAGTTCTGTGCAAGCAATCTTTAAGTGCCACACCAATAGAGAACCATAGAAAATTCAATCCAAGCTGTCAGTTCATTCAGGGAGCTGATAATGGGGATATATCTAAGTATGATATCCGTTTACAGACTATGGAACCAAGTCAACCTGGTCACATGAAATTAATGGGAGAAGAACTGGTCAGGGTGCAATCCTTTTCATCCTGGCCCACCTACGCTTTAGTAGAACCCTCTGTACTTGCACAAGCTGGATTCTTCTTCACAGGTAATATTACATATCATACATATACAAATATAGTAAATACCAGTTGCGCAGAACCACCAGTTTCAAAAATACTACATTTAAATGCTAGCATAAATCTGCCTGGCTTTGTGTTCATAACGATCTCTATAATGTAGCTGGTGTCCATACAGAAAGGCAGTTATCAGCTGCTAAGATGCTTCCCAGTGTTTGGATCACATAAACGCTTTTGCACCAGGGAATCCTTCCTGTGCTATTGTAAAGCTGCCCATACACCTTGCGTTCATCGGACAAAAATTTTCGCCCGATGATCAAACCGCCGTATAATTTTCGTACGGCGGCCCCAATCCTGCCCCGATTATCGCAAGGTTGGGTCAGCGGTAATTAGAAGAAAGCACCTGGACGAATTGCGGTAATCGACTGCACGTATTTTCGTCTGCGCATGTGCAGTGTAGATCGTACGAATTTTGACGTACGGAAATGCCACCAACCCTGCGAAAATTGTACGATCGACTGAAGTTTTCTAAACTGCTGGTTAGTCAAAAGTCGATCGATTATATAGTACTTGCGGTTGTACACTGCCCATCAACCTTATGAATATCGGACGAAAACGCAATCGCATACGAAAATCGGCCGATATTCGTAAGGTGTATGGGCACCTTAAGTGTGATTTCCAAGAAGCAAGGGGTGAGTTTAGCTCTGACCAGTCTGTAAGCTATAACTGGAGACCTGTGGATCAGGACTAATGATTGAGGCCTGAAACAGTTTAAAGCTGGCCATACACCTTACAACCATCGCAAGACTTTCGTCTTGCGATGGTTGTAAGGTAATTTAAAAAAAATGACCATCTGCCCATCTTCGACAGGCAGATCGTACTTGCGATAATCGCAAGCCCGCCCCGCTGAGGCTTCCGATGACGGCAATTCTGAACGGGCAGTGTGCGATTGCGCACAGCGGCCCGTGTGTCATTTGTCTTACGAGCATGCCACAAACCAGATGAAAATCGTATGATTTTCGGCTGGTTTTCAAACATGCTCATAAGACAAAAGACGTGCGACTGTACAGTACAAACGGCCGCACGCCTTCCACACACCTGCCGATTATCGTACGATCACGGGATTTCCCTTGATTATCGTACGATAATCGGCAGCTGTATGGGCACCTTTACAGTGGAAAACAAGGGGACAGCTCAGTAACAGGAACACTGTATATTGGATGGTTTAGAACTGTCCATTGGATTATGTGGAAGAGCTGTTTTAAAACAATATGGAGGGGGGGAGGGTGATATTCAGGTTACGGTGGGTGTTTGTCCAAAGAAAAAAATATACATTTAGTGTAGATAAAGGCAGAGTGAGAGGAAGGCACAATCTGTTGATGGAGAAAGCTGAAGAAATGTTTGGAGTTGCAGTTTGCAATGAGATGCAGTTACACTTTAATGGTGCAGGCCAAGAATCTTCTGCCCTGTTGCTTGGAAGTTGTGAATACGCTGGAATTGCACTGGGCAAATGCATAGCACAAGCCCATGAAAAATAAGATTTATTTATGAATTTATGATGTAATTTTAGAATCTCTACTTACTGGGTAAGGTTTTGCGAGGAGTCAAAATCTTGGTATAATGTGTTGACTTTAGCCAGGACAATTGTGAGGCTGGCTAAAATGCAGTGCTTTGCATGACTTAGGTTAGTTATAAAGCAAATAAAGTGCTTTTCCTAAGGCAGTCATAGGATAGTTACATTTAAATGCTTATTTGAGTCAGAGACGAGATGTATACAATATGGCATAAAAGGGTATTTATAGCCTGTCCATACTGGTTAATTGAATACAGTATAATAAGCAAAGGTAATAAAACAGTTCTTACTAGAAAGACTGATGACCCCAGGAATGAAATCATCAGCTCCCAAGTTGCACATGGCTCCTACCTTATTTATGTTCATAATACTACAAGAAATACTGTATTCCCAGAGGTATTTGAGCCATTAGGCTCTATAACCAGTGAAACCATGTGAATGAGCCTACCAGAATATTCTATGATGCCATTTGGGGGGTCACTAACCTTAGCTCTCAGAATGTTAGCTCTTTCTCTACTGCTTTTCTTCTCTCTCTATGAAACATGACACATAAAGCATAACAAATGCTCCAGTAAAAAGACCCTGTCACCACCCAGTGCATGTGAGAAGTGCTCCCTTTTTTCTAAATTTGGGCTGTCAGTGTGCTGCAAACAGTTCCAACTCTCCTTATCCTCTCTAAGGCTCCATTTACACCTGAGCGGCTCTCCACGCCACGCGTATTCGGCTGTTTGGATACGCGCGGAGCCGCTCTAAACACAAAAAACAATACACTTCAATGTGCATCGTTCACACTATTGCGGGGACAGGCTGTGGAAGCCTTTTATGATCGGCAAAAACAGTCTTTTCTGATCCCCCCAAGGAGTGACAGCCCGAGAGAGGGCACAGAGGCAACAGGTTGGAATGCAGAAAATCTGGGACGTGTAGGAGAAGAATACCGGCAGCCTGGATTAAGAAAATAAAGAGTAGAATTGCATGAGAGCTTAATTCTCACATGCACAAGATTGTGGCAGAGTCTATTTAAATGTTTTGTGTAGGGATGCACTGATATATCGGCCGCCCGAAACATATCGTCCGAAAATGGCACCTTTGGCTAAATCCCGAAAGTGCCTTTTTTTTTCCGATACAGCGGCGCATCCCTGCTTTCTTTCCTCCCCGCTGGGCGCTGCTCTTTGTCCCAGCGGGAATGAGAGAAAGTGCAACAGCCGGCGGAGCGCTGCGGGAGGAGAGCACTGTGAGCGGCCGGCGTCTCTCCTCCCACACCGCTCAGCTTCCTGTCACAGTCCGGCAGAGCGGTGTGGGGGCGGAGACAGGTCACGCTGTCACAGGAGGCTGAGCTCTCCTCCCTGGCAGCGCTCGCTCAGTCTCCTGTGACAGCGTGTCAGGAAGGAGAGCGGGTACAAACACTCAGCCATCAGTGATCGCTGAGTGTTTGTAGATAATTGAGGACAGTCAGTATAGAGGATTCCTGTTCATTTATAACAGGGGATCCTCAGAAAAAGAGATTAAGGACTTTGTGTCCTCATTCTCTTTTTCCTATTTCAAAAGGGAAATATCAGGGGTCTGATTAGACTCCTAATATTTCCCGAAGCCCCTAAAAGAAAAGTAGAAAATAAAAATATTTAATAAAAAATTAATTAATAAATATAAAAAAATTAAAAAGTTTATAAAAAAATAAATAAAAATTAAATATTTAGAAAATGTGAAAAAATTTAAATAAAAAACATTTTCGGTTTAGGTCTGACATTTTTTTTTTTTTATTTTGGTTTCGTTTCGGTTTTGAAATTTCCATTTCGGTGCACCTCTAGTTTTGTGTATTTGTGCCATTCCACTTTATACATTCTGTTTAGCCCAATGTTTGCTGGACACTAAGTGGACATCAGGAATACATAAGCATCATCTGTCATTGATGCCTGTATTGATGTAGACATTTCTTTTTGGGTCCTTTTTTCGCAGTTGTTAAACAGTTCCAACCAATTCCTCTCTTGGAGATCCTCCCAGTAACAATACTTCCTGCACAATGACAACAGTAAGGCATGATACCAAGCATACTGAGAAATAGATATTGAGTTTACATACAGTACACTTTAAATATTGTATATGAAGGAATTTCAGTATATGATGTATATTTGTATCGTTACTTTGTGTTGTAACTTTCATATGCTACAGTATGCTTATGAATTAATCCAGGTACCAGAGACACAGTGCAGTGCTTCTCATGTGGAGGATGTTTGGGGAACTGGGAAGAAAATGATGATCCATGGAAAGAGCATGCAAAGTGGTTTCCTGAGTAAGTTCTATATAACTATTGTGATTTCCTCTGACCGGAAGTTCCGGTATCGGAGCATTTGGGCGAGTACGAGTACTCGCCCAAATACTCGGTATCGGCACCGATACTAGTATCGGTATTAGTGCATCCATACCTAAAAACCTAAACCTTAGCACTTAAACCTCATAATCTAACCTAACCATTAACCTTGAGCCCAAAAATGCAGTGTTTATTTTTATGGTGCCGAAAGTTGAGGCACTATGATGGAAAGCAAGGAAAGGATAAGTAAAATATACCTTTTTTCTTTATAGGTACATTTTGGACCTCCTGTTCGGGGAGGAGGCTCAGACAGTATTAGCAAACCTTGCATTTAAAGGGTATTTCCACTTTTGAAGTCAAATCTGGGAAAACACCTCTGTATATTTGATATGCCTAAACATACCTAAAAATACATTTTAAAACTATACATATTTCTTACCTTTTAAATGTTACTTTGGTGAAGGCCCTTGTGCAGATTCCATGTGGCTCTGAGCAGTTTGAAAGTAAAAGTAGAGGGACAAACTGAGGGACAGACTGAGCTACATCTCATTAACATACAATGCTTCCACGTCTTTAACCCATTGTTAGGAGAGACAGTGTTCAGATCTGCTGTGCAACTGATAATAAATCTGCCAGCACAGTACAGACTGTGTTAATTAGAGTAAACATACCTTTCTACAGCACCCTCCTTAACATTACATAGGGGGAAGCTAGATAGGATTTTTAAGCAAGTAAAAGCACTTATAATGTAAACAGCCATTTTCAATTTTTATTTAAGTTATATTATGTGAATGGGAACAAATAACAAACATAAAAAAGGTCTTATGCTGCAAAAGTGGAAATACACTTTAAGGGCTGGGATCAGTACAAGGGAGGGCAGTTTTTCATGTAAAACATCTCTCACTAAACACCACTGGTGAGAAATTCTTAATGTTATATACCATCGTAGGAAGATTAGTTATGTGTACAAATGGAATGCTGTTAAATGCTTTTTGTCCCATGATAATGCTGACTGTAATGGTGTAAGTGGTTATCAAATTATAAAGCTGGCAAAAGTTTTAAATGTTAATCATTTTGGTTTCATTCAGATGTAACCCAAAAACCTGGTATAGGTACCCCTAAGGACACATATACTACTCGCATATACCGTAATCTAGATGGTGATGTTGAATAAACAGAAAGCAATCTTTTTTTTAAGGTGTGAATTTCTGCAGAGTAAGAAATCTAAAGATGACATACATCACTATACTCAAAATTACGGAAAATATAACGAATTTACGGTATGGAACTATTTATTTGCCTTTTTATTAAATTATAGATATTCTAGATATTTCATGTCGTAGTGAATACATCATATGTATCTTTTACAGTTCCAGTAAAATAAAATGATAACTACCCTTACACAACCGATTTAATACAAATAAACCCCATACTGCAAAGTAAATGATCGCCAGCGGTCCAACAATCCCCCTGCACAGTGCTCCAATGACGAACTCTGCTAAAGGAGCATAGGCATTGTTGATTAGAGCACTCTAGAGGGGGAGTGTCGGTGAAGACCCAGTCCACTGCACTCTATGTTAGAGCAATGATCCAGGTCTCTAGTGAGCTGGTGACATAGGCAGCTTTTACTGTACAAAACACATACACTTAGTTAAAAAAAGGATACCATATTCTTGTCTTGTTATGCACTCAGGCTACCAAGTAAAAAAACCGAAAGGCTGAGATGGACTTTAACTTTTCTCCACAGCAGTCAAAGCTTGGTCAAGTCTGTGAATATACAGTGTAAGAACAGCAGCTCTCTGATGAGGTTATCTCAGTGCTCTCTCCTGCAATAAGCAAGCTCCATTTGTTTGATTCACAACACTGTGTAATGCAGTAAATCCTAATAGGCTACAAGATTGTCCCCTTCCTTCCCCAGTTTTAAAGATGATGTGCAGGGGTTTATGTAAGGCTGGAACAATAACAAGGTTGAAGTACTATCTGAAAATAAGTTGAATTATTTTAATGAATACTTAAACAGGGGTCATTTATATCTCCCAGCACTTAGGATACCTTAGATCTACATATACTCTTATGCTAAATTTTGCGGTCATATTTGCCATAGGTACTGGCAGGTCTGCCCTCCCATCAGGAGCCCCTGAACTTACCTCCATGAGTTCCTAAGGTTTTTATCTGTTGTGCAACTGCGTAACAATTGACTATTATACATGTAGTGCTTTCCATAACTCAGGTTGCGTTATACCTGTCAAATCCTCACTCCACTAAACTATCAGCACCTGTTATGATAATATTTTCTTCTACCTTTGTAAGTACCTATGCATCCCTAAGTCTGATAGAAGGATGAGTACACTAATGTAATTGGTAAGTGGAAGTAGTGGTGAAGCATATGTATGTATAAAATATATAGAGCATCATAACAAATATATAGAATAATCTTCTTTTTAGTTTTTTAAATCAATTTCAATAACAAATTAGTGTTTTTACTCAATTATATATATCTTGTGGTACCATTAAAATCCGGCCTTCTACTGTGTTAAGAGTTATTTCTATATTCATGGATGTGGTACCCTGACCAACCACGGGTTAATTACAACTTAATTCTACATGCATAAATAAAGTGTTTACTCTCTTATTATTTTTGAGTGTACTGATTTTATTGGTTCCTCTTTTCAATATAGCTCTATCTAGTTATTTTGGGGAGGAGTGCTGCTTCTAAGATTTTTTAAAAGCATATGTGTTGGTCTGAGCAGTGTACATATTGTATACAAAAATAATCTTTCCACAGAAATACCTATAGATTTTATGATAATTTTAGCTATAAATATTTGCAGAGTAGGTCCAGATAGGATTCATGAAAAAAAAAATCATATATAAAGATCTTAACAATATTTACAAGGTATGGTTCTATATGTATATATGCTATGTTTCTCATGTGTAATGGTAATGTTCTTTTAGGGTGCATCATTCACAAGCATTATGGGCAGTCATCTAGGTAAGACTGTATTTTTTGTATTCATAATTACTTTTTATCCAATTTTTGTTTTCCATGTTAAGGAACCTTTAAACAGACATTTCGACCATTACTTACATATGCTGTAGTGCTGCCTCCTAGTGGGGCAATTACAATTCAGAGGGAATCTGGCTGGAAGTTCAGAAGGGATTGAAACCTAGTAATTCTTTTTTTTATCTGGGAATTTCTCTGACATCTTCCTTTCCCCTCCACACTATGTTCTTTGGCAGCTTTCCCACCACCTTCCACACTACTTTTTTTGACAGCTTTCCCTTCACTGTTCTCAGTAGCTTCTGTTACAGGTTTCCCCCGACTGGCCACACTACACTGTGATTTTTCCTGGGTCTGATAACACTGCAACCCACCTCAATATTATCTGGGGATGAACCAATATCGGTACTAGTATTGGTATTGGTGCAGATACTGAGTATTTGGGCGAGTACTTGCACTTCCCAAATGCTCCGACACTTACCCCTGATACTGTAACTTCTGGCCAGAAGGGGATTTTCTCTGACTGGTAGTGCCACAAGGAAACATGAAGCCGGCTTCTGGGACGATCAGGAAGAAGGGAGGCGGGTAATGACCCGCCTCCCGGCTTCCTGATTGACCGGTAAGCCGGCTCCATGCTGTTTGGCTGGCTCCATGCTGATTGGCTGGGAAGCCGGCTTCCCGGTCAAACAGCATGGAGCCGACTTCCTGGCCAATCAAGGAGGTTTTCTTATTGGCCGCATAGCCAATAATGCTAGCTGCAGTACCGCTATCGGTACTCGGTATCTGCGAGTACTGAAAAATAAATATTGGTACTTGTACTCGATACCAAAAAATGGTATCGGTGCATCCCTAATATTATCTGTTAGATTAAACACTACACTCTTTTTGATTCCTGTTTTGTTCAGTGCCTCAAATCTGAGCTCTATGGCTACTGCCTTGCCGTTGCTTCTGTGTTCTAGTGTATCTGTCATTCTGCACTCCCTTTTTTCCACTATGCCATTCTTGCTGTGGTAAGTTTTTTCTAAAAACCGTCCCAGCCATCCCCTGGCTTCCATGAAGGGGGCACACTACCAAGCAGATATTAAATGGCAACTGACATTTCATAAACATGCAGAGGTCTTGCAGATTCTAAGCCTTGCTGCTTCCAACCTTCTCACCACCCCCTTGTTAAATTCCTACCCTATGGCAAAAGCATCTCATGCTTTACAAATTGCTGCACCACAATTTCATATATTTTAGAAAAAAGGTATGAGCTGCCCAAAAGGGAGAAATAACAGATACTTCATGACCCCCTCCCCCCCGTTCAAAATCAACTGCTCTGCCTCCTCTCTCTTCACACTCCAGCTCATGTTTTCTGCCACTCTTCCCCACCCTTCACAAACATTACTTTTCAGTCTGCCATATCTCTTTCTTGTCCATGATCAGCTCCTGATCTACCTTCCTACCCTCAGCCACAATCATCCTCCATTTATGCCTCCCATCCATGCTCAGGCCCACTGTACCTATTCTTCCAATAGTCAATGACTAAATCACACTTAGGCTCCATGCGCATATAGCGTTTGCGTTTCCCACACAGTTTTCCATGCTGAAGACCACGGGGCACAAAAATGCTAAAATTTTTCTTGTGCATGGATTCCGCTCATTGTGCAGAATCCTCCATAATATCGCGTTTGTACTATTTTGCGGGCCGCGTGGTTTGACACCGCGCTGCCGCTGCAAAAGTCTGAACAATGCATACTAAAGTGCATTGTTTTTTATGTTTAGAGTGATTCTGCGTGTATTCGGCAGGCTGAATATGCGCGGACAACAGCTCCTGTGTGAATGGAGCCTTAGCATCCTCTTTCCCCTGTCTACATTCAAATCCCAGTGCCTTCTGTTTTTTTTACCAATCAATAATCATGTTCTCTGTATGACGGAATAGACCAGTCCGAACCCACTGTACGTCAATAACACGTGACTATATGCAGTTCTGAACTGAGCAAGCCATCACAAGGACATGGCAATACCACCCCCTGCCTCACCCTGCAGAGATATCCCAGCTCATGGGACAACAATCTCAAGCCAGCAGACAGAGTGGTCGTCACTAGGGCTGGTTAACTCTGTAGTTAACCCAATGCACACAAAATAGTAGCTGCCACCACGTGTTTTAACAGAAACACGGACAGTTCTCGGCAAATGCTGGGACAATTCGAACAAACTTAAACAATGCCTATGATACTACTGTCCTTTCAGACAGCAATATGACAGGTTTCTCTATATAGTAGCGCTCTTCATGAAGCCAAGGGTACTCTAAGTACTTATTTAGAGCGTAGAGATAAGCTTAACAATTTTTAAGATCCCCCTTTAACCAGTTGACATCCGCGGTGTTAAACCCCCGTCCCATCCAGGCCATTTTTCGGTATTCAGCGCTGCGGTACTTTAACTGACATTTATTCCGTCATGCAACGCTGTACTGAAATGAATTTTATACCCTTTTTTGGGGACAGATAGAGCTTTCTTTTGGTGGTATTTTTTTACCACTGGGGTTTTTATTTTTTACTATATTAAGGAAAAATTACTGACATTTTTTTTAAAAAACTGTTTCCCCTATATTAAATGATAAAACATTTATTATTACCCAATTTTTTGGTAAAATATAAAAGAGGGGGTCACGTCGGGTAAAAAGACACCAAACATGTCAAGCCTTAAAATTGTGTACGCGTGCGAAACCTCAAAAAACGATAATACCCAAAATTGGCCATAGGCGACGCTTTAAAAGCTGTTACCGCTCATCAGTTTAGTGTTATCAGTGATTGATGGCCCTAAAATGATTGCTCACACTGTGACGTTCGCGGCGATATGTAACATGTGTAGCGCAATTGTAATTTTTGCGCGCTGGGGCACCGGACGCGTATTTACGCTTATAGGTGTGTAAACGTGGGGGTGGGGGAGTTAAACATTTTGGGGGGGGTTTTTCACCTTTTTTTATATGTGGCTTTTATTTTATTTTA